GCAGTGTGGAACTGTAGTCCCCATAAACGAGTATTCATAGTTCTGTTACTAGCTATATGTTCACGTCTGAGGCAAATATAAACAATACACTCCATTGAATGGCTTTAGTTTAAAAAATATATAAAAAAATTATAAGTGCCTTGACGTCACGTCAAACCATGTGCTTCCTCAAGAAAATAAAAGCAACAAATGACACCGCCAGGACAATACACAACACCAAACATACGCTAAATTAAGTCTTCAGCCAGAGGCCCCTGGTAGAAGGGCTTGTTTTTAGCTATTAGTGTTATGTTACTGTTGTCATGGCATATGAGCACATGCCATGGTGGCCCTTACAGCCCCCAGCTGCTCTGAATCACGCTCTTAATAATTGAGCTCAACTTTTGTCACACTCTGACAGCCAGAGCAAGTAGCTGCTGAGTATCTTGAGCTACGAAAATGAATTTAGAAGTCATCAAAAGCTGTTTGATAACAGGGTCAACAACTTAGCAAGAGTTATTTGGTTAGATTGTCCTTAATTACTCAGTTTGGTTGATATATGGACTTCAATCTGATGCAGACACCAAAAATATATAAAACTGAGTAACTTTTAACATACTGAATCAAACAGGTTCTATTTAAATTAAAATTAAAATTAAAATTTTTCTTTTACCAAATTAATTTATAACAACAGCACAAAGAAAGTTGAAATGCGTGTTAGAAAGTGAGGCCAAACACAAACAAAACGAAAACAGCTCTGGTCACCAACAGAACAGCAGGGGTCCAGCCGAAACAACTAGTAGATAATCATAGTGGCCCTAAATGAACAGAAACAAGACATCTATTTGTTAGCAGCACTTCGTTTTGACAGGGCGTTGTGTTTGTAGTAACGTACTCGTCGTTAGTTCAGACACAGAGTTTGGGGTTGTGGAAGAGACTCTTGGCGACATGTCTGCTGATGTTTATGTGGGAACTAACACACTAACCACAAACAGAACCCGCCTCTCGCCCGCGCTGACACCAGTCTAGCGGCAGAACCGGAGCTGTGAATGTAGCCCTGCTTCTGGCTTAGTCCGTTCTTGAAAGCTCAGCTCAGCTCTTATGAATAAAAGATCAAACCTGAAGCATGGCTCCCCATTCGCAGCTTTGCTTCTGCTGCTGCTACATTTAACGTTAGCTTCAGCTGACAACAAGCTACTTTTCGTATTGAATGATATGTATCTTTGCGTATATGCCACCGATATGTCAGTTTGTCAGATAGAATACTAAACAAATAAACTTTTAAAAGCCGTTTCGACTTACCACAACCTCCGGAATTTACCCTTGTTTTCTTCTTAGACCCCCAAATCCACTCTACTCATGGACCTCACAAAGCCCCTCCTCTCTTGTTTTTCATTGGCTGTGGCCTCAAATGAATACGTGCCGTACGCCTTGCTGATTGGTTTACGTTCGTGTCAATCAATTCTTGACACTAAAAACTTCCGTTACCAAAAGAGGTTCATGACGCAGGGATGCACGCAGTGATTGGTTGATTCTTCCACAGTCGGGATGTTATTGGACGGTACTGTATAAATCTAAATGTATAAAAAGCACTGTTCGGCATGACATCACCGTATTGTTTACTAATATACTTTGATGAGTAGATCGTACTACAGCTTGACTGTGGGATCTATAAAAGCATTATTATCACTCACCTGGTATTAGCAATTCAAGATGAGATAATGTCATAATTAAGGCAACTTTATAGCAAATTCGTCAGCTGTAGACTGTAGTTAAGTGTGATTTGTCAAATTTTGCTAATTTAAAAGAACTGTGCACTGTAATATATTGTGATAATTGAGAATGTTGTGGAATTAATGCACTATATATTTACAAATATGTCTGTTTGTCTGTCTGTTTATTTATTTTCTTCTTAACTCCATTCCAGAAAGTTAACCATGGTTTTATTGTAGTAAAAGTGTAGTAACCATGGTTTTTTGGCGTATTGATTACCATTTGTATAACCACAGTTTTACTACAAATAACATTGTTAAACTATAGTGAGTGTAGCAAAACCATTGTTAATTTGTGGTTACCATGGTTTAACTATAGTAACCATTGTTTTTTGCTTTAATTTGTAGTAAAACCATGGTTAATTTTCGTAAGGGTATATATTCATGGCGAGATCTATCTATCTATCTATCTATCTATCTCTTTCACTGATCAAGGATTCATCGGAACAAGCTCAGTCCGTACAGATCAGCTGTCCATGGATCATGCCTCCAAACACCGCGAGATAGTGCGAGACTTCGGTGTGCGCGAGAAGACCTGTCGCCGTTTCTCTTCCTCCTCTCGTTTTGTTTTCGATCATAAATCCCGGTAGGGGATCTTCCCGACATGCTAGGATCACTTACAGTCCGCACGGAAAGCTTCGGGCGGACCTTCACATTGCATTACCGCCTGATTAGATCGACATAACCTGCTGATTTTGCTTTAAAAAAAATAAAACTCAACCCCGCTGTCTGAGATCGTGTAATCTAGGCCGTGTGTCTGCTTGCGTTATCGTACATCCAGGTGAGCGGAGCGGCCTCTCCCAGCACTCATGCCATAGACAGAGGCGCACCAGGAGCAAATTCAGATACGTGTCAGACGTTTATTTTCCCGTTTTCTGGTTCACAAGCTCTGGGTCTTTTTCCTCGTTTGCTGAAACAGCAGCAGTGGCGGCGGCCTCTGTATGCAGCCCGGGCTTAATGGCGTCGGACACCAGCGACACGGAGGAGTTTTACGATGCGGCGGAGGATGTCAACTTCACTCCCTCACCTCATGCGTGAGTTTCATTTCAATATAACAAAATGCATATTATTCTTAATGCGTCAGGTTGATGTCTGATGTCCGTCTTGTGAATGGAGAATGAACCTGCGCCTGTCAAAGCTGTCAACAGTTGCTCCATTGCTTGTTTATAGATTTACTGCTTCTGTACAGCCATATACCGTTTTTTATGTGGATACATAAAGTCATATGATTTTTGCATTAGTGAGCTCTCTACCTAGAAAGTATTTTTTGGCTGTTCGAGTCAGCTGAGTGGTTTTGAACCATAGCCACAGTCTCGCCTTGACACGCAGCGTTCAGATGATGTTGCTGTTATGTTGTTTTGGTGCTGTCACCTGAACCAAGTGTTCGCTGTTGCCGCTGCTGCCATGTTGTGGAGTCGCTGTGCGTTTCGTTGTGAAAGCGAAACTAATTTATTTGGCCTTCCAAAAGAGGACAGGACTAGAAATCAGTGGTTAAGTTGTATTTACAACACTGTTCCAGAACAGTTCAAACCAAATATTCAGATGTTTGCTGCGCATTTTATGGAGGATGTATGAGGACCGTTTCCTGAACCAGTAGCCTAATGTGTCTATGGCAGGGGTGGCGAACGTCGGTCCTGGAGAGCCGCAGCCCTGCAGCATGCTTGAGGTATTCGGCCAATCACAATGCACTGGATAGCTGGCCAATCAGAGCACACCTCACTTTTTTAGAACGATGAGCTTTGTAAATATCGACACATTTCAGAAAGGCGGGGCATAGAGGAGGAACAATAATGTACATTATATGGAAAATAATGTGTTTTTTGAACCTTAAACCGCATAAACACATTGCATTACACCAAATACACAACATAATGTTCTTTTTAGCAGCATCATATGACCCCTTTAAAGGCTTTAAAATTCTAAAAAGAACTTTCTTAGTGTGTTCCTTTGAGGAAGGGAAGTCATTAAGGTTGAGTTTTGGAATAATATAAGCATATCAGGTCTGGAAATGTGGGGGATGGAGTCCACATTAAAATATAGAGTACTTCTTTTATCCATGAAATAGCCTCCAAACACTATGCAAATTTCATACATAAATATAGTAGGATTTTCTGCATCTGTGGTTTAAAAATATGAAATATGTCCCTCCAGTGATTCTCAGCCATTTCCAGCACTAGAGGTTATGTACCTGATTTTAGGAGAGTGTCATCCAGTTTGCAATTTTCCCACTGTATTCAAGTACCATTCTCTACTAATTCAAACAGTTTATAAAATTACTGTCTTACATTTTGTAAATCATGTATTTAGACTTGTTTGACAGAGTGTTTTAGTCACAAACATGACCGCTATTTTCAGAAAAGGAGCCCGGATGACTCAGAAACCCAGTGACTCAGATTCTCAGTGTGAACAAAGATTTGAAGACTTGAAACTTCAGAAAAATAATTGCTCTTTTATGAAGAACGAGTCTACTTGTTGTTAAGTATAGAAAAATCCACCCGTTCTTGTTATCACAGCATGACTGGGGTCAAAGGTGTGTCTGAGAAGAGCTGTGACAGTGTCATCAGTGATTGCTGAAGGCTAATTTAAAAGTTTGTGTTTGGTTGCTGGGCTCATGCTTAGAGTTGCTGGATAAAGGGTGTGTTATGAATGAGATTGAGGGGCTTGTCTGTTCATGAATGCTGTGTCAGGCGGCCCACACTAGCTAGTTTTAATTAGGCTCAGACCTCATGTAAACTCAGTGCTGGGAGGAGCCCTCACACCCACTGACTGTTTATGTACACACACAACTTTATTGACGTTCACTAATTAGACTTATCTTGACTTACAGTGCTGAAGCAAATGAAGACTAAAAATCCACACGTTTTGAACAAATAATGTGAGCATAGGCCTATGGGTCAAAATGGAGCTGTGTGTACCCTGGTGACCTGAATTAATTATTTGTTCTTTTACTCCTTATAGGTCACCGGCAAAGTTTGAACTTCCTCAGCCTGGGGTAAGAGTTTCCAGTTATTTACACACGTTTCTATCTGTGCACTACAAAGTGAAAATGTGATTTAAAAAAAAATAGTGAGAATTTGCTAAGCAAATAGAAAGGAATTTAGCAACATTTGCCCATGGGTGGTTCCATACAGAATCTGCTGATTTGATTGCAAATTAATCTGTTCATATATGAATCGCGATTCTGTCTTCTAACGATTCTAATGGATTCACAAGTATCAAAATCAATGTTCTAAAGCAGTGGTTCTTAATAATGTTCTTCGCGTCCCCCTGCTCTGCACACGCTTTGCATCTCTCTCTCTCTCTCTCTCTCTCTCTTTCTCTCTCTCTCTCTCTCATTCAGCTCAGCTCCAAAAATGAACTGTTACAATTATACACTTATTTTCACATTGCTATGAGAAGCGTTAAACATGGACGCGCGTGGGGTTGCCGTACTGTATTAAAGCTTTAATCAGGATAAAACCGTATATTAAAAGCTAACATAAGCAGTAGCATTTACAAATAACAGCATATCTAAAAGTATGAGACAACAACAAACAAAAAACATAGGCCTACCATTGCTCAAACTGATAAGCGATATTAACGACGCCTTGTTTACAATACAGCCGGAGCACATGCCGTTGAGGTGAGGAGCGGGACGTTTAGACGCGCACTAGAGGTGGTTTAGTCAATCACAGCACACTGGGCATGTTGTTTGAACATAAATGTGTGTTGGCAGTGTGTGTACACAACTACACATCCACCCTATAATGATAAAAATCCACCCAGTCGTTTTTATTTAAAGGGGTCATATGATGCTTTTTTAAAGATCATTATTTTGTGTATTTGG